CCTTGGCTTTATACCTGTTCAAACAACACATTACAGGTGGCAGTGTGCACCCTTTCAGCTTATTTGCCAACTCATAGAAGTAGTAGAAGAAGAAAATGGACTACTTCAAAATGGAGACGGCCTCAATGGCCCTGCCCGTGCTCTCACAGACACCAAAATGGTACAGATACAATGATGCAATGTCTATCTACGTCTATGGTTTTGCCCCATGCTGCGTCAGACCATAAACAAGTGGAGAGAGAGAGACGATCACAAAGATACGTCTAGACAATGGTGCTCAGCCTTGCAATGTGAGTGGTAGAGAGAGGATTCTGTGGAAGCTTGATACCTCAGCTGAGCTCCCTTCATGCCCAACTGTGTTTGTTAGTGACAGAGTCATGGTTGTTGCATTCAATAATTTCTAGTCCTGAAGCCTTCACCAAGTGACTGCCTAAGTGATTGTGTTTGAATGAAAAGGAAACCCTTTATGACCATATATTATACATTTCTTAAGGCTGTTAGTTATGGCCTAGTTATCGTCAACATTGTGGTCTGAAAATCTTGTCTCATGGGCCACATCAGACCTGCAAGTCACAATAAGCTGGTTTGTGAAGTGATTAGTAATTCCTATCGGAATCCAGACAGAGGTACTATATCCAACAAATTGAATATTCTATCACCCACAATCTGCATTAAGAATGACTGCTAAGTACTTGACAAACAAGACTACCTAAACCATCTAAACTGGAACAACCATCTTAGTAACGGGTGCAATAAGTCCAACCCCTTACAGATTGGATTAGTTTAGAAAAATGTAAGTTATTTATCTTTGTATAGTATAAGATCAATTAATCAATCAATGTGCACACAGATTCAATTAAAAAGACCAAGGAGGTTTTCCAATGCCTCGCGAAGAAGGGCACCTATTGGTAGATGGGAGAAAAAAAAGCAGACATTGAATATCCCTTTGAGCATGCACTATTCAGAAATCTCTCCGCCATTTCCTGGTTGCTAAAATTATATTGTATTTTTGGTTATGGAAAACTGGTGTACAAAACCGAAAGTAAAAGACGCAAAAACGAAACTTAGAAACAGGAAGCATAGAAATAGTGCAGTGAACGTTCCTGAGTCATTGAGTTACAGTTTGACTTGAAAATCTATGGCAAGACTTGAAAATGGTTGTCTAGCAATTTGACAGAGTTTGAAGAATTTTGAAAAGAATAATGGGCAAATGTTGTACAATCCAAGTGTGAAAAGCTCTTAGAGACTTACCCAGAAAGACTCACAGCTGTAATCGCTGCCAAAGCTGCTTCTATTGACTCAAGGGTGTGAATAATTATGTAAATGAGATATTTCTGTATTTGATTTTCCATTAAATTGCAAAAAATTTAAAACATAAAAAATCACTTTGTCATTAAAGGGGATTGTGTGTAGATGGGGGAGAAAAAAATGAATTCAGGCTGTAACACAACAAAATGTGGAATAAGTCAAGGGGTATGAATATTTTCTGAAGGCAATGTACACATGCATGCCTTCAATTCAGTCTTGATAGGAAGATGGATAACAACAGCCTATAATAAGGATTTTTGGGAGGATAATGTTTTCATTATAAATCCAATATATTTATCAGCCTCCCTTTATTGGGCCAAAGGGAATTATCTTGAACTCAATTTTGCGCCAAATTAAGCGTTTTACGTCTGTCTCCTATTCAAATTGAGTAGTGTGTCATAGTAGATAACCAGGAACGGAACCACAGACATAGAGAAGAAAACCTAGATCAGCTAGCGGAACTCAGAACTCCAGCCCTGATTCAGTGGTTGGAAGGGAGGGCCATAGAGATACAATGTAATACTGTACTATTTCATTCTCTGTGTGTTTCTGATTCTATGGAAGGGTGTGGCTATTTTGGCTAAACAATCAATCGCGCCCTGGTCAACCAAAGACAATCTCTAACAATAACAACACAGTCATAATTCATCACTGTTTATGGTTTTGTGACAGTCAATCTTAAAGAATCTACCTGACCTGGGGAAATAGCCAGAGGCAGTATTCATTAGTCACCATAGAAGCTATAACTGCACCTGCTCTGTACCATAGACATACACTAGCTGACCAGAACACCTACCCAGTAGGGGCTTGGCCAACTGCAGGTGAATACACTGCCTGCTGTGTCATTCCACCCTTAGAGATTCCACTGGAATCTCTAACTGACTGTGTCGGGCTAATGCCTCATTCATACTCATGGTGAATAGATTCCAGTCATGCTGAGTGCTAACGTGCGTGCCGCTGGTGCACCTTTCATTATACATAGTTAATCATGGTAATATACTGGCTTGAATGTTTCATAGCCCTCCACTGCACACACACTCACACAGGCATGTCCGCACACACACACAAAACGCAGGCCTTGTACTGTATCTTGGGTATTTTCCCCTTAATCTTTTCTTTTTTTGTTTAAACTGAAGGTAAACTCTGTGCTACTGCCCAGGGAGTTCAATCATTATCACTAGCGCTAACAGAGAACGTAGCCCTGAATTCAAACACACACTGGGGTGAATTAGGGGTTATTTGGCTAATGCTGAATAAATCCTCATGCATGAACGCACACACACACAAACACACACACGCAAATACAGTACAAAGCCTCCACTCCCAGGTGCTTTGAATAGAGGAGAGAATGTAATGATGCCACTGTAAAAACAACACTGTTCGTTTAGAAATAAATCACAATATCACAGGAAACAGGGAGAGAGAGGAGAGGATTGTCCATGTGTGGCCTCCTTCTTAATTGCTTAGTTAGCAGGCTTCTTGCTACTATGAGTTAATGTTGTTGTGGCAGTTCTCTGTTTAGCACCATCACCCCTGAGAGATTGTCTATTTAAACCCACAGCTGCTGGTGGAGGCTGATTATGGGCCTCTCCCTGTCTTATCTTTGTGTATGACACCCTGCCGTTAGTTAGTAGTGTGTGTGTGTGTGTGTGTGTGTGTGTGTGTGTGTGTGTGTGTGTGTGTGTGTGTACTGTGCCGCATGGCGGATCGGGAGAGTTCTTTAGAGAGCTGGACCAGCGTGGAGCAGACAGACAGTCATCTGAGTCATTTAGCGTTACACTTTAGACCCACGGCACCAGCACAGAATGTTGATGATGTTTAGAGGCCGCAGAGAGAGAGAGCGAGAGAGAGAAAGAGGGGGAGAGAGAGAGAGAGAGAGAGAGAGAGAGAGAGAGAGAGAGAGAGAGAGAGAGAGAGAGAGAGAGAGAGAGAGAGAGAGAGGAGAGAGGAGAGATAGAGAGAGAGAGAGAGATGAGAGAGAGGAGAGAGAGAGAGAGAGAGAGAGAGAGAGAGAGAGAGATTCTTTAGCAGGGTGTCTTTGATCTGCAGGGGTGAGTGGCAGTTCTGTGTGTGTGTGTTATATTTATCTAGCTACAACATATGGTATTTAAAATAAATAGGTTGTGACTTAGGTAAAACCTGATATAATATTACATTGATGTCAGCTCATTAGCCTGGCCACAGACAAAACAAATACTCAACATGAATTATAAATCATCATAAAAGCAAAGTCCCAGGTAGGTCCTACAAAAGATAAATCTCCATAAAACTGAACAAATATTAGTTATGAAATAGCCCTAATTTGTTTCAGTGTACCAAAGGACTCTGTTGGCTCCAGAGAGAAGCACCTCCTCTGTTACAGGAGCAGAGCGGTCGGCTTGGAAACAGTGCCAACAGTAACATCCCATAATGAAGCTGCCTCAGCGTTTTCACTTCCTCTATAATTGGAAGTTATTAAATATCAAGATGAGGGCATCGATATCTGGCAGGGAACCCTGTAATATCTCAACTGCACCATCTACTACTACAGTATATATTATGTACAGTGGAGCCCCTGGCTCAGTACAGGCAATGATATCAGGATAAACCCAGTTGGCTACTGCTTTGGCTAGGTCACCCTTGGGTCATCCTTTGGCTAGGCCACATTGGATAGCACTGTGATTTGAGATTTTGAGTTCTTTGTCAGCCAAGGGAATATATTTCCTTAGTTATATATAGTGTTAAAGAGACAGTGTGGCCCTCTGAGGTCAGCATTCTGCTCTTCCCTATCAGGCTGTTTCTCGGTGATGCAGCAAACCCCTTTAATGTTATATAACCCCCCCCCCAGGATAGCTTCATGCTGATGAGGCATCAAAACATTCTTGGAGAGTGCCCATCTTCCGAAGCCCTGTTGTCAGGCTGTACTGCTGTCAAGTGTAACCCCTCTGCCCTTTATATCTGCAGAGACTTAAACCTCCGTCCGATAACATTAAATATTCAACAATGTTTAGAGAGGGTTATCTTTCTCATAGATAGATATTGCCATAAACCCCCCCCGGATTTGTTTTTCTAAAGTCAGCAGTGAGAGGATTAGTTAAGCACACATTCAGCCACCTACTCGTGTATTGTAACCTACTGTACTTTGGTGAGGTTCATGCTCAATTTCAGTGAGAGAATTACTATGATTATAAAAGAGTAAACAACCTTTGTTTTTATTGGCCAGCCAGCTTAGATTATACATATTAAATCAAATCAGATCAGAGGCAACAATAGGCTAATGCTGAATACATGATAATATAACAGCATAATTCACATAATAACATCATTCCTATAATGCTATCAGAGAGAGCTGAAATAACCCAGTCTTTAATATGCTTCTTCCATTGTCTCTGTAATGTCACTTTAACATGCGACTGTATAATGGGATCCTGCATGGTCTGAGGTAGGTTGGGTAACCTCTGGCAGTCCTTCATAGGATGCCTGAGTTCCTGGCTCGTTATCAATGCCAACCAGGGAGACTACTAGCATGGTGCCAGATCTGTTTGTGCTTTTGCCTACTCCATTGTCATTGGAATTATGACAATTTCATAATTACAACATAACACTTTATATTTATTAACTTTTGTGCGAGGAAAGAAAAGGGTAGTGATAGCCTACTGAAGCTACAGTGATCTAACGTTTGGCCTCTTTGTCTTCATTTTTGTCTTCCACAGTTTTCATCTGCAGTTTCATGGTGGCAGCGCCCATCTTCGGTTACCTCGGCGACCGTTTCAACAGGAAGATCATCCTGAGCTGTGGCATCTTCTTCTGGTCTGCCGTCACCCTCTCCAGCTCCTTCATCACCAAAGAGGTATGACATCACTTCCTCTACATACAGGAAGTACACAGGAAGTAGCGCACTGTTACAATAAAGCAGTAAACTAGCTGCTTCACTCACTGTCGGAAGTCGTATATCCAAACCTCTTCAGTAAGAGAGGACCACTGCTCAAATTCTAGACCTAATTCAAGCACAGACAAAAGCATTATTCATGAGTTTGGTGGTACTATCATCACCCACGATGACCCCTATGAGGGAAGGTTTGATGTTTTGATGTGCAACACATCAGAAGTAAGTAGAAGAGAGAAACTCCAGGGGCCATTTCACTGAGTGGGTTAACTGTTTTGCTGATCTCCAGCACATGAAGGTTAGTGACCGCACAGCACCACAGTTTGAAGTGCACTGACGTGTACTGTGCAGCCAAAACAAAGTTGTCTCACTAATGTAGATTAGATGACATGCTCATTTAGCGTGACACTGACTTCACAGCCTTTGTAGACATTCTATTATGGCTTTATATTCGCTCTCTCTCTCTACCTCACTCTCTCTCTCTCTTGCTCTGTCCCCCTCGCTTTGTGCCTCTATGTAGGCGGCCGTCTGCTTTCCTCCTCTCTCTTCTCTATCCTCTCTCTCTCTCTCTCTCGTCTCTCTCTCTCTCTCTGCTCTCTCTCTACTCCTCTCTCTGCTCTCTCTCGCTCTCTCCCTCCTCTTCTCCCTCTCCGCCTTCCTCTCCTCTCCCCTCCTCCCTCTCTAATCTCATCTTCTCTCACTCTGTCCTCTTCTTTTCCTCTTTCTCTCTCCTCCTGCTCTTCTCTTTCTCTCTCCCCCTCCCCTCTCTTCTCAGAACAATGAAGTTCCCTCCCCCCAGAACAAAAAAAATTGGTATTAGGCAATCAGCTAATATAAGCACCTGACTGAGAGAGAGAGAAAGAGAGTCACTACAGTATTACATAGCAGACCGAGTCATGTGCATCATGGAGCATCAGAGGATAAGGCCAGCAGGCCATGTGGTCTGATTCCTCTTTGGTTTGGTTAATATCTCTATAAAGGCCTCGTGCTATGTGTTGGTGGGGGGGGGAAGAGGGGCTCCTTCCATCAGATATAAGGGTCTGACTCAGCTGACTGTGTGCACGTGCGTGTTTGTGTGTGTGTGTGTGTGTGTCTGTATACATCCATGTATATCTGTGGAGTGTATGTGTGTATTCGTTTGTAGTTGTGTACCTTTGTCTGTGTCAATGTGTATGAGTTCAGGTCAGGACTGTGGATGTATATCTAGGCCCTATGTGTGCTCCAGGGTTTCACATCCAGAGATCCAGTGATATGAGTGTTAATTAGAGAGCTAGTTCAGCCCAGAGCTGTTAACAGTGGAGAGGACTGACAGCTTAGGGATGTTTGTCCTAGGTTGATGGCCCCATGGGGCCACAGTCTGACTAAACTAATCCCATGTGTAGCCCTCCTCTGTGGGGCTGCGAAGGCCGCCAGCTGCCCCTGGGGGAATACAGCCTGGCTCGCTCTGCTCTCTGCTGTCACTGCTAAGGCTGAGCTGACAGGAAAAGCCAGCCACCATCACCCATTGGCCCATCTCTCTCTGACACATCATGCCACAAAGGCCATCCCTGATGAGGTTATCAGGCGGTTTTCCCAGCACACACACACACACACAGACACACGCACACACACACCCTTCATCTCCACCCTTCCCCTCCCTCCCTCCCTCAGTGTATTTATCTCCAGAGATGTCCCCTAATCTGTCAATCAAACTGAACCACAGTGGTCTCTTACGTAACAGCCTCCAGTGCAGCGACCACGAGATACAACATTAATACCACTCACAACTGATGCTAATCATTAGCCAATTATAAACCCACTCTGGGCATTTTGGATATATTTATTTCGGAGAGCTTTTTTACCAAAATTACATTTGGAATGTATAAAAGGGGAAATAATAATTTTGACTGTGTAGAGCTGACATAGTCTCAAAAGCCCAATTTATAGTCCACAGTCGCAGAGCCGTGATAGTCTGCCGGTCCCGTTTTGACATATCTAGGCGTCTCTGCTTACAGTAGCTTTCCTTGATTAATTGTGTGTGCCATCCGCTGCCATAGAAAGCATGACCGTGAGGTGTTTCCCAATTATCATCGTCAAAGGATTACTTCTAGGATTACTTCAAATTAAACAGCATGTTAATGTTCCTCGTTAGTTCATTTATTAATTAACAAAGTCTTGTCATTAGAGGGAGTCTCTCTTTCAAATCCAACCTAATCCCTTTACTGCCTCTGACAGGAAACCAAAAAGCCTAAATGTCTCAGGGTGCTGCGAGCGACGCCAATTATGCACATGTTTTAGCATGCTGGTATTACAGAAATTCATTTGGTCCCAGAGGAGGAGGAAGAGGATTTGTTGTTTTATTTACATTTCATTCAGTTTTGAGCTCGTAAATCTAGACTGGGGGACAGAATCCAAGGATAAGTGCTACTGATGTTGTTGTTGATGTTGTTGTTTGTGCTGCTGCTGCGATGGCTGCCTCATTTAAACCAAAGGACATTAATGGTCTAGCAACCACACACAAAAAACTATATGAGCAGAATTATCCACTACTAAATGACATACCCTTAAAGGGATACTTTGAGATTTCCCCAGAGTCAGATGAACTCTTGGATACCATTTTTATGTCTCTGCGTTCAATTTGAAGTAAGTTGCTAACTTGTGTAGACTTCCAGTACTTGCGCTAACGCTAGTTTGCATTGGCTCACAAAACTAAGTCTAACTTCCTTCATACTGCATTCAGAGAAAAATGGTTTCCACGAGTTCAGAAGTTTCCCTTTAAGAAGAGGAGAAAATAGCTCTGCTGTACAGTAATTCATTTCAAAACAACACTGCATACTGTAACAGTCCAACGGATAACAATGATGTAACCATAGTCATAATTCATTCAAAACAACAGTGCATGTAGCTACTGTTACAGTCAATTCAAAACCAAACAAATAAGACAGCGGTGCAGACCAGTAGGTGAGGAAACAACCATTTAGGGCAGCAGAGTAAACACATATAATTCACAACAGCACCAAGTACCATGAATAGCACAACCATTACTGGGAAGTGAGTGAGCAGCATGCCCCCCCTGTGTCACAGCACATCAGTGTATATACCGTTTATACCATGTACTGGGGTATTTCGAAATACCGACGGTATGATTTTCAATACCGTATAAAATAAGGAACTATTTATTTTGTTATTTGGGGGGTGCATTCTAGCCCACTGCTTATAACTATAAGTTAAGTATAACTATACGATATCTAAGATGTGTCAAATAAATTATGTCCAGCTAAGGGCTCCAGCTATGCATTTGGTTTGCTAACTTGCTAGCTAAGTGGCTAGATGTCAAGATCAATATTCTTGCTTACAGCAGCGAAAAATATATCAATATATAATTAATTTGAAATAGCGCCCCTTGTGTGCACATTCGGTAATACCGTATACCCCGGTATGGTACAGAAACGGTATGACAGGATGAAAATCTGGATACCGCCCAACCCTAGCATATATCATCGCTGACATGGTGTTTTGCGCTGTGTATGCTCCAGAGTGTGTGTGTATGCATGTGTGTGTGTGTTGTGTGCGCTCCAAAGCTTGTGTGTGTGAGTATTGTGTGTGTGTGCGTGACCCCGTGCTGTGGCTTGTCATCCACCTGGATCAGAGTGTGACAGCAGTATGAGACACAGGTCACCCTAGGGGTCAGGGTTTTACCCCGCTATCCCTTGCTCACTGCCTTTGATTAATCCCTGCACAGAGCTGTTGCTGGAAAGGGCAATCCCCCGATACACACACCACACACATATGCAGGAACGCACACACACATGCAGGATCGCACACACACACACACACACACACAGCCACACACACACACACGCACGCAGGCACAAACACACACAACACACATGACACACACACCAGCCAGCTTAGATGCAGAGAGCGAGAGAGAGAGAGAGAGAGAGAGAGAGAGAGAGAGAGAGAGAGAGAGAGATAGAGAGAGAGAGCGAGAGGAGAGAGAGAGAGAGAGATATATAGAGAGCTATCTCGCTCCTCATATCTCTCTCTTCTCTCTCTCTCTCGTCTCTCTCTTCTCTCTCTCTCTCTCTCGCTCTCTCGCTCTCTCTCGCTCATCTCCGTCCGTCTCTTCCTCTTCTCGTTTCTCCTCTACGATCAATAGAACTTCTCCTCCCCTCCTAAGGTCTACGTCCCCACCCATGTCCCCTCTCACCGCTCTGTTTCCATTCCCGTCATGTAGGCCTAATTCCCTATAACCCACTGGGAATTACGTAACAGGACAATAAGTACTGTTGTTTTTTCTGGGAATGACAATCAATGTTAAAACTGGCTAACACTTTACTCTAGGTGTCCTTATGCATGCATTCATTAAGCCATTATTGCGTCTATATAACCCATTATAACAATTTGTCATAAGCTGTCATAAGTAGTTTGAAATAGTTATGAGTTACTGCATGGTATGTTATTAAACCTTTTATAATGGGTGTTAAAAATGGCTGTTCATCCTATTATCACATGCTCTAATGTCAACTCTTAATAACAATGGCTATTACACAGTCTGCATGACAACTTATGTCATATGTTATTACATGCTGCATAAGAGTCTACATACCAGATGTTAAAACAGGGTCATATGTTATTTACCAACCTCTGTGTCACATTATTACGTTGAATGGAATGACGGGCGTCATAACCATGTCATATGCCCTTATATAGTGTGCACAGACACCTTAAGTAAAGTGACAATAATTTGATGAATTTTAAAATGGTTATGAATGTGCTTATACCACAGGATTAGTTGAGAGTATCACAAAACTTTGCCATTCATAGGATCTCCAAGAAACATGGGCAAATGGGAGCACAGATGTACTTAGGATTTGTATTGATTTAAAAAAGAACACATAATACCAACAACTTGCTAAGAAAACACAGAAATTGTTTAAATGAAACAGACAACAAAATTAACATTGCTGGGGCACAACCAGATTTGTGACAGCTGTGAAAAAATGAATATATTGAGTAACAATGACAGCTATGTTATGAAATCAGGTAAAAGTAGCTAATTGCAATTGCAACATTTCATTGGCCCACCAATGATTAGCTATCTAGCTAACAATCTGCTAGCGCTAGCTAGCTAACTTCACTAGCAACAGATGGAATGAAAAACTGTACTCAGTAGCACATTGCATATTAAAGGTTCTATGGTTCTATGTGCGCAAATTCTATGCTTCCCGTTCTTAAAGTTTTGTTTTTGCATCTTTTACTTTTGGTTTTGTACACCAGCTTCAAACAGCTGAAAATAAAATATTTTTGCGTACAGAATTTTTTTTTCACAGCGGTTTAGATGGTACAATGATTCTCTACACTATACTTGCTTGTTTTGTCACATAAACTGAAATTAGGCGAACTATTCGAATTTTAGCAACCAGGAAATGGTGGAGCGATTTCTGCATAGTGCACCTTTAATTCATGTTATTTAACTCAAGCTAAATAATGTTATTATTATCCATGTTATTTGCTTTGCCACATGATGAGCTGACATCTCTTCTCTTCTCCCATTTTATGTTAATCGGCACCCTTCTTCCAATTTCAGCGATATGATTCGCTGGCACAAGAGCTCTCAATAACGTTTCATTGGATCTCCAAACTGTTCATGAAATTTCAGCTATATGTTTCGCTGACACAAATGGACAGTTTGCAGATCCAATGAAAAGTTATTGAGCGCTCTTGTGTCAGCGAATCATATCGCTGAAATCAGAAGAAGAAGGGTGGGATAATGTTAGTTAGATTGAGTTAAACAATGTGAAAAGAAAAAGTAATTAAGTTAAAAGTATACGTGAAAGAGAATGTATTGTGTGATGTGCTGCAAAGTAAGCTTTATAATTTGGAATTCCTCCTTTAGGTAGCAAACTAGCTAGCTAGCTATGCATCGATGGGGCACTGCTCATGCTCATGTCATGCCACTACGGTGTGAATGGCTAGCTAACTACTGTCAAGTATACTGTCAAACAAAACACATTGTTTGGACTGTGTAGAACAGGGCTCTCCAACCCTGTTCCTAGTTACTTGACTGACTAGCTAGCTAATTAGATAGCTAACTACCCATTTTTTGTATAATATAGCTGCTGTCTTTGTTACTGTAGCCTGCACATCTGACTTTTTTCACAGCTGTCACAAATTCTGTTGTGCCCCAGCAACGTTGATTTAGTTGTGTAAAATTATTTTTGCTTCTATTTCGTTTCAACATGTTTGCGTTTTCTTGGCAAGTTGTTGATATTATAATGTGTACTTTTTTTTCAGTACATCTGTGCTCCCATTTGCCCATGTTTCTTGGTGATCCTTTAAATGGTAACGTTTTGTGATACTTTCAACTCATCCCGTGGTATAACTGTTTTATAACATCTGAAATTAATGTAACTTTACTTCAGGTGTCTGTGCACTCTAAAAGGGCATATGACATGGATGTGAATGACATAAATGAGCCTATCATTCCATTCAATGTAATAATGTGACACATAGGTTCGTAAGTGACATAACACCCTGTTATAACATCTGGTATGTAGACTGTTATGTAGCATGTAATAACATATGACATAAGTTGTAATGCAGACTGTATTATAGCACTTGTTGTTAACCATTGACATTAGAGCATATGACAACAGGATGAACAGTCATTTTTAACACACATTATGACTGTTTTTTTAACGTCTAATGCCAAAGTACTTATGACAGCTTATGACAATTGTTATAGTGTGTTATATAGATGTTATAAAGGCTTTATGAATCCAATGCATGCATAATGACACCTACAGTAAAGTATTACCGAAAACTGTCAGGTAGGGAGAGAGAGAGAGAGAGAGAGAGAGAGAGAGAGAGAGAGAGAGAGAGAGAGAGAGAGAGAGAGAGAGAGAGAGAGAGAGAGAGAGAGAGAGAGAGAGAGAGAGAGAGAAAAGTAAGTGCTAATGGAATGTGGGTGTATACCGCAGGGCATGACGCTATAGTCCTCTTTTATAAAGTGTAAAAAGAACGTCCTCCACCCCCTTCCCTCCCTCCTTTTACCCCCTCACGCCTGCTGACATTTCTGGTATTTTCTTCTCCTTTGCTGTGTACTTAGATGCATTATTTGACAGAAATAAGAGCAATACCCTTCTGATAATAGCTTTCTTTTCTGGATATTTATATATTTAGTTGTGGTTCTTGTTGCTAGGCTGATTCCAGTGTTGGGGCAGAAAAGCCTCCAGTTAGTCAGTGTAAAGATATGGCAGTCGGGGACATTTCACAGGTGCTGGACTTGACATCATTGACAGGATGTGCGAGCAGATTTGATTGGCTGAATACAGGAAACAATAATGAGGGAGACAGACAGGGTAGGCAGGCTGTGCCAAGTGGACTGATGCTTTCACAGCATGTCTCTGTTTGTCAGAATAATCCGCAGAAAGTGGAACCAAATTTGACATTTCAATTAAGACACGCTCTCCCCCAAATCCATCGTCACCCCAACTCATTTTTCACTCACTCTCTCTCTCTTTCTTTCTCACTGCATTTCTTTCTCTCTCCATTTCTATCCGCAATTGTCTCTTTATCTGCCTTTCTCTTTCTCTCTCTCTCTCTTTCTCCTTCTACCCCCATCCCCCTCTCCCCCCTCTATCTTTCCCCCTCTCTTCTTCTCCCTCTTTCTCCAATCTTTTTCTCCACGCTGCATCAGACACTAATCTCATCATCTGGGATCCCCTCTGAGCGTCCTCATATTCTCCCATCACCAGTGTTAATAACCATACTATCCCCATACATCCCCTCTTAGTGGACCCACTATGTGTAGATAGGAAGCGAGGATAAAATGTGTAAGAGCAAAATAAAAGAGAGAGAGAGAGAGAGAGAGAGAGAGAGAGAGAGAGAGAGAGAGAGGAGAGAGAGAGAGAGAGAGAGAGAGAGAGAGAAGAAAGTAGACAGGCCGCCTACATAGAGGCAAAGTGAAGGAGACAGAGCAAGAGAGAGAGAGAGAGAGAGCGGAGAGAGAGAGAGAGAGAGAGAGAGAGAGAGAGAAGAGAGAGAGAGAGAGAGAGAAGGAGTCAGAGAAAGTGAGACATAGAGAGAAGGATAGAAACAGAAAGAGAGTCATAGCCATTCTATGACAGTCTCCCAGGGGAGATAGTGTGTGTTGGATGACCCTATTTCTATCATGGATCATCACTAAAGGATGTGACTGCAGGAACATATTTAACAACTTGTCAGATGGCTATTTATATCAACGTTCTAATCCAGGTTGTTTAGAGGGAAAGGGAGGGTGTCATTCTGTCTTCCTGTCTCTGGAGCTAACAGAGGGCAAAGGTTAGCTCCCACATTTTAGTGACCCTGAAAAATAGCACAGGTGATTTTCAAATTTAATATAAGTGCTATTTTTGTTCATTTTGGCTCTTTGTCGGTACCTTTTAAAGGAACTCAGGGTTGTTCCAGAGCCTCTAAAGCTCATATCACCACCCTCTATATCTTGTTGATGTTCTCTTTGTTTGGTAAGCGTGATTTTAACAGCAACACGGACAGATTTATGAACATGCTGCACTGCTGAGTAAGCATTCAGGGGAATAAGGGATGGGTGGAAGAGAGGAACAAATCTATTCGACGACAACATGGAGGAAGCTGTGGTCTTCTGTGATGTGGCTCAGAGTGAAACTGAGTGGTTTTCTTTTGTGACTAAAATGTTGTATTTTCCTTTTCAAAAATGAGCAGCATAACAGATGACACAGCACATAACAACAGTAAAAAAAAAAAATATATATATATATATATATATATATGTTGTATTGTCACAAACAGTACACTGGATAGGTGCAGTGAAAGGTGTTTTACAGGGTCAACCGTAGTAGTAGTGTGCCCTGGAGCAAATTAGGGTTAAGTGCCTTGCTCAAGGGCACATTGAAGCCCAAAACGTAATGTTATCTCCAGGTCCATGTTCCGTTATAAAACAACATCTGTGTATAGATAGATCTGTATAGCTTTCCTTAACTGCATACTGCTCTCTTCTCTCTGCAGTATTACTGGCTGTTCGTCCTGTCCAGGGGCCTGGTGGGGATAGGTGAATCCAGCTACTCTTCCATCTCTCCTACCATCATTGGAGACCTCTTCACCAATAACAGCCGAACCATGATGCTCTCTGTCTTCTACCTGGCTATCCCCCTGGGAAGGTAAGTGGTCCCTTAGAACAACCCCCCCCCCCCCCCCCCCCCCCCAAACATAGGGTTATGGTCACAATATGGAGATAAATACATCGCTATGGCCACAACAGCTCACAGCTCATAGGAAATGGAGGTGAATGATGATAGTGATTGGGAATTGTCTTTTCCTCCTTGTTTGAATTCCAATGCATGCTGAATATCAATAGCTGAGCTCTCTCAGAGACAGACAGTCAGCTTGCAGACATTTAGGAGAAAGGAATCGAGGAGAGGAGAGGAGAGGAAGGCATGGCGAATAGAATTTGACTGAAAGTTTATCAGTGAAATCATCCTTGCTCTCTAAAGGTCAGCAGACGTCCCCATCTAGCCAGTCTGCCTCTTTGTGTCTGCCCTCTACCCACCCACCCAGACAGACACAAAACCCACCCAGGCAAACGAGGGAAGAAATAGAAGAGATTGAACTAAATAAAGAAGATTCTAAAAGAGCTGAGAGACGTTCTCAGAGGGGAAGGGATGGAGGGAGGGATGAGGGAGTCTTTCTTTAGATAGTAAGGGGTATTAAGCACAAAGCTCTGGCCTTTTCAGTTAATTCAGTTGGAAAAAGGAGGAAGAAAACCAACAAAGAGTTCAAAAAATGTGGTCCTGGTCGGTGGAAGGATGGATGGATGCGGTGCGGAGCAGAGCGGCACTCAGGGTTTAGGCTTATTAACTGTGGAGAGTCCCCACAGTGCACTGCTTCAGAGCCTCTGCTGGGGATGCGGCTGAATGATGCGGCAGCACACTGTTTTGTTCCCATCTCACACAGAAGCAGCCAAAGTCAGACACACAGAGAGACGCTATGTGAATGAGAAACACACTGCAGTCGCACAGAGCCAGGCCATTGCTAGGCTATCTCTGGCTGCAGTCCTTTCAATCATTTTACTTTAGTTCATCTGAAGTGTTACCTACTTCGCCCTCATTAGTTCATATGATGTGTCAATCGTGTCAATGAACCTGCATTTTAAGATAGAGAAGATGTAGCTAACATAATACAACTAATATATCATGTTCGGGTTGTTCTGCATCAACATATCATAGGAAAAGTTCCCAATTGCTAAACTTGCTCTGCCATTGAAGTGCTTGAAAGAGAAAGCAGCAAATGCCAGCAACACTATCAGCCTTTATTATGGGAATTCCAATATGACATTACATGCAGTCAACTAATAGTATCGATGGCAGATTGAATGCAGTTGGAGAGACAGACAGGAAAGAACATAAATGTTTCCTCTGAGGAGTTCTGGTATGCTGAGCCTTTAGATGTCGCTCGGCAACAGAAACAATAGGAGGTGAAAGAGTTGGGCCTCAGTAAAGAGCCAACAAACAGCACTCTCCCCCTGATTGTTTATCTTTACCAGGGTTGTTGTGACCGTTTCCAGGAAGTGACCTCAGGGTTCACAGGAAATGGGTTCCCCCCCCTCAGTAAAATCCCTCAAATTAACCCCAATAGCCTAATCTATAAACTTGGCCTATGAAGAGTATACGGCTGTATCCCAAATGGCACCCTATTCCCTATATAGTGCACTACTTTTGACCAGAGCATAGGGTGCCATTTGTGACAAAGCCTGGGTATCCTACCCTACCTCCCCAGGGCTAGAGGGGTGACAGTATTTTTCATGCCTGTATGAGTTTTAGTGGCAGTCACTCAGTTGAAATATCATTTACAGCCTGAGCTTGTTTCACTGTTATTTCTGGAGCACTAATCAGTTTAGCACAACAATGTAGACTGTTTCCCCCCCTAGTCCCCATCCTGTCCCTCTGTGTGCACCTATGTTTGCGTGAGCCTGCACTCCCTCCAGACAGAGAGGCTCATTGAAACTCTCATAACCTTTTGAAAGCCTAATATGCTGATAAGAACCCCATTGTAAGGCCCTGTTGGCTGCTCCAGACCATCCATCAATCTATCCCTCCTAATGCTCTTAATGGTCAACACCCAGTCTCCTGTCCGGCCCACGGTCCTGTGGTACACTACAGACAGACAGGCTAGCTCGGCTGGCCCAAGGAGCTCTGGGAACACAGGAAGTAGGAAGTGTGCGTGACATGGAATGTTGGGTCGGGGGGAAACGCCCAACTCAAGGAGGCTGATACAGTAGAAAGATGGCGGATGCCCAATACTGGTTTTATGGGACCAACGGGGTACCAACATGTCCAGACCAGTGTAAACTTAGACTTCCCACACTTCCAATAAGACAGCAATAGGTGGACCACTGTTCAAACATATTTGATATTGATATCAGATATTGACAACAAGGGGACATCCTTCTTTCATCAGTAACTCATCATCCTTAGCCCTAAATTGACTTTTTTTCAAAGCTGGAGAAATGGGGACAAAATGGCCTAACATGGACATCTGAAGAGGTCATCCACTTCAGCTAATCAGGATCCTATTGGCTGTTTTACCAGATCAAATCAAATCAAATGTTATTTGTCACATGCGCCGAATACAACAGGTGTAGACCTTACAGTGAAATGCTTACTTACAAGCCGTTAACCAACAATGCAGTTTTAAGAAAAATTAAAATAACAAATAATTAAAGAGCAGCAGTAAAATAACAGTAGCGAGGCTATATACAGAGGGTACCGGTACAGCGTCAATGTACGGGGGCACAGGTTAGTCGAGGTAATTGAGGTAATATGTACATGTAAGTAGAGTTAAAGTGACTATGCATAGATAATAAACAGAGAGTAGCAGATAGGATCCTATTGGCTGTTTTACCAGATAATCTCCCCATCTAACAGCCCTGACTGGCCCTCATTGATTATCTTCCCTCTCTAAACCCTCTGGGCTCTATTTTATCAAACTTAACGCAATGGTAAGCACTGACAGAAACGCTATTGGTGTTACAGAAATATGTTTGATATTTTCACAGCCGTTATTATGAGCGCAATAGCTGGCGGTGGCGAAAGGGCTGGGTTTTGATGAATAAGCAAGTTGTAGGTGTGATGAAGGCTTGGCCACTCACTGCCCAATCAAGGCGTTCCATGGCTTAATACTGCATGCGTTTGTCTGAAGTTCTGTAGGTTATTGACAGTCTTTGCGTTGCCATCAACTCCAATTCAGCTCGGGGTACTGAATATTCTTGTCCTAGTCCATTGTGGATTGATACTACAGTTTATTAAATAGCATAGGCTACAGTAACAAGTGATAGCAACAGTAAAAAAAAACATCCGGTGTTTGCTCAGTATGTTTGGAGTGTTGACAGTCAACATTGTTGTAATTGGCTTCAATGGCTTTAGGCCTGTACTCATGGCATTCTCAACAAACAAACAAATACTAGGCTCCTGTAAATGATATTGTATGTGTGAGGCACGTTCTCAATAAGCAAGATCTAACCTAGGCTTACCGTTGATATGGCGTTATAGGACTGACAAATTTGAATAGCCGATGTTTGGAGCAGCACGTCTTTGTTAACCAGACAAGAGGCACTCTTTGGAAATGGGGATACCCCAATGGAGTATGCACTGCAGGTAGGCCTATGTGAATTGTGAATAATGCAAAAAGCATGTCGGCAAAAGCCTCAAGAGTATACCATTTAGAAACCTTTTATGGATAGGCTAGTTGGCTAATGCATAGCCAAGATAAGAAGGAGACCAGAGACATTGCTGTTGAACCAGTGTTCATTATAGTAGGATAAGGGTAGCATACTAAGGACTTTTTTAACAAAGGAAACAGAAAACAAGCAATTGTTACAGGAAAAAAACTTAAATGTTTCTACTGTAAATGCAAGTGTAACTTGATTATGTAACTTGTGGTCCTCTGTAGCTCAATTGATAGAGCATGGCGCTTGTAACGCCAGGGTAGTGGGTTCGATCCTCGGGACCACCCATACATAAAAATGTATGCGCACATGACTGTAAATCGTTTTGGATTAAAGCGTCTGCTAAACGGCATATTATTATTAATATTATTATTATCTCATCTCTCGTTCCATGATAGGCATATGGCCTACAATATAATAACAGGAACTGGCTAAAATAATGTACAGCCTACGTAGATAAGAAGGGGATGTCTGCTCACTGTTTTGCTGCTGCCAAACTTGATCTTTTAAGATTAAGATTTATTTCAAAGCGGTCTTACAAGCCAAACCCTTTATGGATAGTCTTGACTACTTGGCAAATGCATTGGGCAGGATAAAAACAAACAGCAGTTGAGAGGAGGGGAGGCTATGCTTGATTTTTAATTAAATGAAACGAACATACGTTTTTTATACGAGGTTTACAGGCACAAAAAATATATCTCTCTTGTTTGACATCAGATAGGCTGCGCTTCCGTTTCCATGCGATAACCATCCGCGTGACCACTAAGACCAGCTTTCGGGTGGTCATAAATATCCCAACCAGTGCACACTGAAATTGGCACGTTGGCGCACGTTTTTAAGGACACACCTCAGATATTTGTCACCCCTCCCACCTCAGCGCAAGCAAGCTCCTATAAAACAGGTAAATTACCAATCCTGGCGCTTCAAAAGCGTTCTTTTGACAATTTGCTGGCTTAACGCCAGCCGAAAATTGAGCCCTCTGTCCTTGGAATACGGTGATGTTATCTGCTACTGAAGGGATTAGTTTGTCGTGCGTGCATGCTTTTGAAGGGTTTAGCTCGGAATAGATGGGGTTTGATGTAATCTGATCTAGGGTCAATTCCTTCAGAACATGTGGTTATGGTTAATATTCTACTGTGGAACAGATAGAATAGGCTAAACAGGCCCAGTCTGATCAAATCAATGAAGTAAATACATTATTCAGGTGGGGTCACACATTCCTCGGGTGGGATGCTGACTAATGGAAGATAAATTCAGTCAGACAACTTTACTTAACTGTCATCGTATTGACATGTACTGTATGTTAAAGAAGCACGCCCTTCTTTGAAAAACACACCTAGGATAATAACCGATGCAGAAAGCAGACTGGACTCTGATAGCGTTGACAAATAGAGGGACATCCGTGTGACTGAGTGAATAATAGCATGTAGTTAGTATTGTCTGTCTGTCTGTCTGTGTGTTGTGTAGTAATGACTTCAGAGACACAAGGCATCATGAGAAATTGGATGCTTGATATCCAGACAGAATTTTTAAGACACAACCATCTGGGCTCTGGAACAGTCATTCCTTAACCGCACGCATGTACACACTCACACACTCACACAGACAGTGACAAATTGACAGACAAGCAGCTACTGTAGCTTTTATCAGTGGAAGCATCATATCCCGTCCACACCAAGGACCCAAACCCAACCCAACACAGACTCATTAAACCTCTTATCAGAGAATAAGCATGATATACAGAGGCTGAGAGTGGAAACAAAAGATAACAGAGCTTTAGGTCACTCAGTGACGGTATCCAACAGTCTGACTCTGATTCATCAGTTCTGAATGTATTCATACACCAATAATAATTGTTCCTTTCCACACAGTATGTGTGAGTGTGTTTCACGTGGAGGACAAATACAGACATCCTGATGACTCAGAACTGAGGACAGACAGCCGTCCTGACAGAGGTGTTACAGAGGGACCATAGACAGTTCAGACAGACCAGCAGAGTACAACTCTCTACACAGATGGGTTGCCTCCCGCAATGTACCAATGTCCCGAGTGGCGCAGCGGTCTAAGGCACTGCATCTCAGTGCTTGAGGCGTCAGTACAGACCCCCTGGTTCGATTCCGGGCTGTATCACAACCGGCCGTGATAGGGAGTCCCATAGGGTGGCACACAATTGGCCCAGCGTCGTCCGGGTTTGGCCGGTGTAGGTGTTAAGAATGTGTTCTTAACTGACTTGCCTAGTTAAATAAAGGTAAAATAAAATAGAAAATTAACACGTTTGTTCGTAAACAACGTCAGTTTGGTGTAGAGGAAAAGGCGGAGTTGGGACATCTGGCTTTCCTACGTCTGCCTACATCACTGCCTTATCCGCTTGTTGATCTAGCAAAAACATCCCCCGGACATTCTAATCCCCGCCTACCCAAACTTGTGATTTGTTGAGGGAGTTGTCTGTCTGGAGAGGACCCTCCCCATAAAAAATGTTTTTCTCCTTTTTCAAAGTTACCAAGAGTGTCCGTCATTAATCCCAGACGTAGTCACTGCTGTTGCCTAGGTCTGGGTTTTCGAGACTACTTCCCCACTGCTGAGGGACAATAGATGTCTCGGAGAGAGAGACAGAGTCAGACAGAGAAAGAGAGTCAGATAGAGACAGTCAGACTGGAGACAGTCATACACACTGTAAAAAAATTCTGTTGATTCAACGTACTATTGCAAGGCAAAAAGCTACAATTGGATTGCGAGTTTGCTCAACAAAAATGTTGTGTTGTGCAAACTAACACTCCTATTGCAGCTGGTTGCCCTACATTGAATCAACACATATATATATATATATATATATATATATATATATATATATATATATATATATACAGAAAGACAGTCAGACACTTCCCCACTCAGACAGTCATCATCCCAACATGTGGGCTTGTTAATAATTTACCACCGGCAAGTCAACAGACAGCAGCCCAAACAGATAACAATGTCAGGAAAAGTAAGGAAGAAGTGTATCAGGAAGAGTACGTTGTATGAAATTTCACCATTGGGATTAATCAAGTATCTTTAAATGTGTGTGCGTGCTGTGCTCCTTCTGAAACTCATTCAAAATCAAAAATCAAAATATAACGAGCGGCAAAGTAGTCAACAGACATTCCCATTTTATATATATATATATATATATATATATATTGGACGTTATTTTTGGCCATGCAGGTTCTGTGAAAAGTTTGGACTCAATAGGCCTATGTGCGATGCCCATTGAATGAAAGGTGTCAGTGACTGTATGAAGTCTGTTTAGGAACTTCAAGTTATTACAATAACTTATAGTTTTTCCTTTATCATTAAAAAAAATTTGCATCTTCAACTTTCATCTGTTTGACGTAAATGTCAAATCGCGGGAATTCCGGACCGCTTGTAGCCTAAGCTATTTGCCTGTTCGTTTGTTTACCGTTCACGTGAGGAAGTCACTAACAGGCCATATCAAGGTGATGGTAGGATAATCTTATTATAACGTTTGGTCAATGTCCAATTTCCATGACTCGAACATGTAGTTCATTTTTTAAATGCGAATGCAATGTGTGTAGACAAATATTTCCATGTTGAAGCCAATAAAAAAAGAAAACTACATTGGCTACATGTTTGTTATAACTAGGTCTATTGTAGGGTTAGTGTATAGTATTTAATAAACTATATTCCATGGATAGAACAAACATCCATGCCTCCTGCTGAAGAGCCTTTAAGCCTACCACACAGTGCATTCCTATTTGAAGCGTCTCTCTCTCTCTCTCTCTCTCTCTCTCTCTCTCTCTCTCTCTCTCTCTCTCTCTCTCTCTCTCTCTCTCTCTCTCTCTCTCTCTCTCTCTCTCTCTCTCTCTGTCTCTGTGTGTCTCTCTCGGTCTCTCTCTCTCTCTCTGTGTGTCTGGCCATCCAACTGGGGGATACCTGCTCTGCTATCAAGTGCAAGGGCTATCTATCTATCTGTCTACCTTAGTGGGTCATTCTGGAGTAAATCGTGAATTCCTATGACTCTACTCAGCCGTGTTGTTAGAGACCATGATCAAAAATCAAAAAGGTCAGCTGAATGCTATAGTGTAGGTCGAGGTTGGTTTTATTGGATTGTTCTCCTTCTTTATCCAGGCAGCAATGTCTAACCAATCGTCCCCTTCTCCTCTTGTTTCCTCCAGCGGGCTGGGCTACATCCTGGGCTCCAGTGCAAAGGAGGCTGCAGGGGACTGGCACTGGGCATTAAGGGTAAGACCATCATCATCACCTCATCCTTACATGTCCTCCCCCGACACACACTCGATGGGGGGTTGCAGTATGGGGCGGACGGTGGGCAGTCCCCATCATCATGACATCATCCCTCATCATCCTCATTATCATCATCATCTTCAGCACCGTCATGTCCTCTCCTGACACACACACTTCTGGGATGGGGCAGGAGTGAGGGGGTTTACTAGTGACATCAGTGACAGAGAAGGGGGGCTTAAGGAAATGCGCACGCACACGTGCACGTACTGTATACACACCCACTCACTCACACACACACACACACACACACATCATGCCTCTGTTTATCTGCCTTGGCCACCTTGGTTACTTCTGATAAGGCATCGCTTGACTTAATGAAACCCTGAATGGATGAGTGAAAGATGACGAACAACACTGACACTAGAAAATGAGAGGGTTGATTTTTATGGTAGTTCAATGTTGTGTCACAAATGGCAACCTATTGCCTATTTAGTGCACTACTTTTGATCAGGTTCCATAGGGTTTGGGTCAAAAGTAGTGCACTTAATGGGGAAAAGGGTGCCATTTGGGACAAAACCCCAAAGCTGATAGAAGCTCCTGACCCTGATCTCAGTGGCTGAAAACACGTTAATGTTCCATTACCCTCTGGGTCCCTGGGGTCCTTCCTACCAGTGACATATCAAATCCCACTCTAATGAAATAACAGAGTCTCAGTGTCTGTCTCTCTAACCTGGCCACAGTCTCTTTCTCAGTGGTCTCTTTGTAGGGATGAGGTACAAGGAGGAGGTGCATTAGAGGAGGTGCAGGGTGAGGTTTGGCCTGCCACAAAGAGACATTTGTTTAAAGTATTTGGCCCACCGAATACCCTATGGAACTCCAATAATAGCAAACTGAATAGTATTAAATCAAAAGCTCATTTTAGCAACTTGATGTAATTAATCTGACCAAATTAGTTGGAATTAGCTGGAATTATGTACCTTAATGAGCCATTTCATAAAGAGGAAATGATATTCCCGCTTGGCATACATATGCATATTATGCATATTCATGGACAGGCACATATGCCTGTATTTAACCAGGGAAGATAAATATCTGTTGTCATGTTGCTTCGTTATTGCTACATCACCACCATTGAAACACTAGGTGCTCTGTTAAGGCGGTGCTAGTGTCAAACTCATGCTCTTTAGCAATTTCGACTTGTAAAAGCCAGCACTCTGCTTTTTTCCTGGCGCCAGGGTTGGCAATTGACCTGTCTTATATCAGCTCACTTGCGCTGAGGAGGAAGGTGGGAAATATTTGAGGCGTGTCCTTAAAAACGTACGCCAATGTGCCAATTTCAAGCAGCGCTACTGGTGATATTTAAAACTCACCCAAAGCTGGTCTTAGCGGTAACGCAATTGGTTATGGTGTACATTTTTCAAACAGCTCTTACACAAAATGGGCATTATCATCATGTTCACATTTTCACACTATTATCCTAACCTCATAGTGTGGAAAAGTATATAAAACACAGGAAAATCTAAAATCTAAATATAACGAGCGGCAAAGTAGTCAACAGACATTCCCATTTTTATATATATATATTGGACGTTATTTTTGGCCATGCAGGTTCTGTGAAAAGTTTGGACTCAATAGGCCTATGTGCGATGCCCATTGAATGAAAGGTGTCAGTGACTGTATGAAGTCTGTTTAGGAACTTCAAGTTATTACAATAACTTATTGTTTTTCCTTTATCATAAAAAAAAAAATTGCATCTTCAACTTTCATCTGTTGGATGTATATGTCAAATCGCGGGAATTCCGGACCGCTTGTAGCCTAAGCTATTTGCCTGTTCGTTTGTTTACCGTTCACGTGAGGAAGTCACTAACAGGCCATATCAAGGTGATGGTAGGATAATCTTATTATAACGTTTGGGCAATGTCCAATTGTCCATGACTCGAACATGCAGTTCATTTTTGAAATGCGAATGCAATGTCTGTAGACGAATATTTCCATGTTGAAGCCAATAAAAAAAGAAAACTACATTGGCTACATGTTTGTTATAACTAGGTCTATTGTAGGGTTAGTGTATAGTATTTAATAAACTATATTCCATGGATAGAACAAACATCCATGCCTCCTGCTGAAGAGCCTTTAAGCCTACCACACAGTGCAATGGAACGAGAAATGCAATTTATGATATCATGCTTCTGACCCTATCCTATTTAGAAATGCTGTTGTTGGTTTAAAAAAACGGATTGATTTGTTTTTCGTTTAATTTGATTTAAAACCAAACTCATTAAAAAGATTCACCGTCCATGGGTTTATGGTAAGAACATATATATGGCTTGAATGCAATGCAATTTCGTCTGCTTTTTCTGGAGAACTGCAAATATGAGCTGTAAGACGGTTACATAATGTTTATAAAACATTACATCTGTGAGCAGTAGAACGGTGAGTGGCCATTTCCCCTTTCTCTTCTGTATTATACGCCCACAGGGAGCAATTATAGTGCCTGTAACTATATGTAGACATATATTTAGCCTATTTAAAACAAGTTGTTGTTTAGTTTTTATTAGAATTTGATTCAAATGATACACTATCTTTTTAGGCCTTATCAATAGCCTAGTGAATTGAATCTTCCTACGTTTGGCGTGTCCATGTCCAGACTGCAATTTATGGTAGGCCTAGCCCATGTATCAGAGGGATTGCTACAGCCTGCATTGCATTCAGAAAGTATTCAGACCCCTTGACTTTTTCCACATTTTGTTACGTTACAGCCTTATTCTAAGATTGATGAAATTGTTTTTCTTCCTCATCAATCTACACACAATACCCCAGGTTTTTAGAAACGTTTGCAAATGTATTAAAACAATTAAACTGAAATATCACAAGTATTCAGACCCTTTACTAGTACTTTGTTGAAGCACCTTTGGCAGCGATTACAGCCTCGAGGCTTCTCGGGTATGATGCTACAAGCTTGGCACACCTGTATTTGGGGAGTTTCTCCCATTCTTCTCTGCAGATCCTCTCATGCTCTGTCAGTTTTGATGGGGAGCGTCGCTGCACAGTTATTTTCAGGTCTCTCTAGATGTTTGATCAGGTTAAAGTCTGGGCTCTGGCTGGGCCACTCAAGGACATTCAGAGACTTGTGCCGAAGCCACTCCTGCATTGTCTTGGCTGTGTGCTTAGGGTCGTTGTCCTGTTGGAAGATGAACCTTCTCCCCAGTCTGAGGTCCTGAGCGCTCCGGAGCAGGTTTTCATCAAAGATCTCTCTGTACTTTGCTCCGTTCATCTTTCCCTCGATCCTGACTAGTCTCCCAGTCCCTGCCGCTGAATAACTTCCCCATATCATGATGCTTCCACCACCATGCTTCACCATAGGGATGGTGCCAGGTTTCCTCCTGACGTGACGCTTTGCGAATTCGGCCAAAGAGTTCAATCTTGGTTTCATCAGACCAGAGAATCTTGTTTCTCATGGTCTGAGATTCCTTTAGGTGCCTTTTGGCAAACTCCAAGCGGGCTGTCATGTGCCTTTTTACTGAGGAGTGGCTTCCGTCTGGCCACTCTACCATAAAAGCCTGATTGGTGGAGTGCTGCAGAGATGGTTTTCCTTCTGGAAGGTTATCCCATCTCCACAGAGGAACTCTGGTGCTCTGTCAGAGTGACCATCAGGTTCTTGGTCACCTCCCTGACCAAGGCCCTTCTCCCCTGATTGCTCAGTTTGGCCAGACGGCAAGCTCTAGGAAGAGTCTTGGTGGTGCCAAACTTCTTCCATTTTCCTGAGGACCGTCAATGCTGCAGACATTTTTTGGTACCCTTCCCCAGATCTGTGCCGCGACACAATCCTGTCTCTGAGCTCTACGGACAATTCCTCGACCTCATGTCTTGGTCTTTGCTCTGACATGCACTGTCAAGTGTGGGACCTTATATAGACAGATGTGTGCCTTTCCAAATCATGTCCAATCAATTGAATTTACCACAGGTGGACTCCAATCAAGTTGTAGAAACATCTCAAGGATGATCAATGGAAACAGGATGCACCTGAGCTTAATTTCGAGTCTAATAGCAAAGGGTCTGAATACTTATGTAAATAAGGTATTTCTGTTTTTTATTTTTCATAGATTTGCAAAATAAATGTACAATCCTGTTTTCGCTTTGTCATTATGGGGTATTGTGTGTAGATTGATGAGGGAAAAAAATAATTTAATCAATTTCAGAATAAGGCTGTAACGTAACTTTCCGAATGCACCATATGTTTAACAATGTATTTCCAAATTGAAGCAATGCAATTAGCACAATGTGGACTGCAAACATAAAATATTTAGCAAATATGGGGCAGGCTATTTAACGAACTAGACTATAATCTATAGCTTGCGGACCCCTGTTCTCTCCTGGAGTGAAAGGTATAATTTTTTCTTCATTTGTACTGTCTAGCTAGGGCCATCTACTTTCTTGACTTTTCCTACTAGCACTGACTTTGCTGATAACTTCTTTATTGAGGAAGAATAGACTTACTATGACTGTGATATGTGGTTGTCTCACCTAACTATCTTAAGATTAATTCACTAGCTGTAAGTCGCTATGGATAAGAGCATCTGCTAAATGACTAAAATGAACATGTAAAAATGCTATAATGTACTAACATTTGAATTGGAATTGATGACAACGCAATACATAAAAGACCGTAAATACACAACTTGAAGCAACCACATATTTAGCCATGGAGCACGTTTTGATTGGCCAGTAAGGGGCCAAGCCTCGACAACCACAACTTGTTTATTCATCTAAACCTAGCCCTTTCATGCCACCACCAGCTACTGCGCCCATAATTCCGTTTCTGAAAATAGCTAAAATATTTCTGACACCCCCCCAAACCTATAATACTACCGCCAACGCTAAGGTTTACCATTGTGTTAGGTTTGTTAGAGCCCTAGAACTCCTCTTCCCATAATTTTATTGCTACCTCAATTGAAACACTTTAGGACTCTTACCATAAAACTTTAACAGTCAGATAGCACAGTTAACAGCTCCTACAACAGCCCATTCCAGTAGTCATGGAGGAGGCCTCTGCTCCGAGTCTGTCCAGTTGAAGTACTTACGTGACAGCTCCTCCTCTCATTAACATTTATAGTTGGCCTGCCATTGAAAACAATCATCAAGGACTGAATGTTATATGGAAACTTTAAGGAGGGCATTTACCATCCCTTCCAGAACAGCAACATATAAAGCATTGTTAGACATGACATCTCTATTGTCTTGGGTAAACGGGAAATCCATTTGTCCCGTTGTTTTGAGGGAGTAGGAACATGTCTGGAAAACAAATTGTCATGGGGAAGGAGGGATGGGAGGATTGTTCCAGTCGAAGTTGTCATGCTGACCCTTCAATAAAACAATCCCACAATCCCCCAGGAGAGTGGGAGAGAGAGAGAGAGTAGAAAAGAGGAGAGGAACGATTGATTAATCACCGCCAGTCCGCCATTGCTCGGACAGAGAAAAACAACAAACACATGAAAAGCCTTTCTTACCAGCAGCCATATCCTGCTTTGAGGAAAAAACACTTTGCACCGCTTTCCGCTTGTTTTCCACTCCCCGGAGCTGCTCAGGACTGGCCGCCTTCCTGGAGGGAGGGATGGATGGATGGAGGGAGTGAAGGAGGGGAGGGGGGTATAGAGAAGGTAGAGAAGTAGCAGGGAGGGAGAGATGGATACCGGCGTTGCTCGATAGTTAACCCCCTTACCTTCACATACTGGACAGAAAAGGGATGTACAGTCGTGGTCAAAAGTGTTGAGAATGACACAAGTATTGGTCTTCACAAAGTTTGCTGCTTCAGTGTTTTTATATATTTTTGTCAGATGTTGCTATGGTATACTGAAGTATAATTACAAGCATTCCATAAGTGTCAAAGGCTTTTATTGGCAATTACATTAAGTTTATGCAAAGAGTCAATATTTGCAGTGTTGACCCTTATTTTTCAAGACCTCTGCAATCCGCCCTGACATGCTGTCAATTAACTTCTGGGCCACATCCTGACTGATGGCAGCCCATTCTTGCATAATCAATGCTTGGAGTTTGTCAGAATTTGTGGGTTTTTGTTTGTCCACCCACCTCTTGAGGATTGACCACAAATTCTCAATGGGATTAAGGTCTGGGGAGTTTCCTGGCCATGGACCCAAAATATCGATGTTTTGTTTCCCGAGCCACTTAGTTATCACTTTTGCCTTATGGCAAGTTGCTCCATCATGCTGGAAAAGGCATTGTTCGTCACCAAACTGTTCTTGGATGGTTGGGAGAAGTTGCTCTCGGAGGATGTGTTGGTACCATTCTTTATTCATGGCTGTGTTCTTAGGCAAAATTGTGAGTGATTCCACTCCCTTGGCTGAGAAGCAACCCCACACATGAATGGTCTCAGGATGCTTTACTGTTGGCATGACACAGGACTGATGGTAGCATTCACCTTGTCTTCTCTGGACAAGCTTTTTTCCAGATGGCCCAAACAATCGGAAAGGGGATTCATCAGAGAAAATGACTTTACCCCAGTCCTCAGCAGTCCAATCCCTGTACCTTTTGCAGAATATCAGTCTGTCCCTGATGTTTTTCCTGGAGAGAAGTGGCTTCCTCGCTGACCTTCTTGACACCAGGCCATCCTCCAAAAGTCTTCGCCTCACTGTGCGTGCAGATGCACTCACACCTGCCTGCTGCCATTCCTGAGCAAGCTCTGCACTGGTGGTGCCCCGATCCCGCAGCTGAATCAACTTTAGGAGACGGTTCTGGCGCTTGCTGGACTTTCTTGGGCGCCCTGAAGCCTTCTTCACAACAATTGAACCTCTCTCCTTGAAGTTCTTGATGATCCGATAAATGGTTGATTTAGGTGCAATCTTACTAGCAGCAATATCCTTGCCTGTGAAACCCTTTTTGTGCAAAGCAATGATGACTGCACGTGTTTCCTTGCAGGTAACCATGGTTAACAGAGGAAGAACAATGATTTCAAGCGCCACCCCCCTTTTAAAGCTTCCAGTCTGTTATTCTAACTCAATCAGCATGACAGAGTGATCTCCAGCCTCGTCCTCATCAACACTCTCACCTGTGTTAACGAGAGAATCACTGACATGATGTCAGCTGGTCCTTTTGTGGCAGGGCTGAAATGAGGTGGAAATGTTTTTTGGGGATTAAGTTCATTTTCATGGCAAAGAGGGACTTTGCAATTAATTGCAATTCATCTGATCACTCTTCATAACATTCGGGAGTATATGCAAATTGCCATCATAAAAACTGAGGCAGCAGACTTTGTGAAAATTAATATTTGTGTCATTCTCAAAACGTGATGTATAGTGAAGGTAAGGACAGTAGTGTAGTGAGATAGAGTTTCTGAATAGTTACCCTCTAACCCTCAAAATGGATGGAAGGAGGGATGGATGGATGGATAGAGAGGATTTAGGAGTAGTGGTGAGTAAGAGATAGCTGTGTTGCTGGACAGCTAACCCTAACCCTCATACACTGGGCCTAACCCTCTCAACCCTCACACTCTAGGCAGGAAAAATGGATGAAAGGAGGGAGGAAGATCTCTAACCCTCTAACCCTCCCACACTGGGCAGGAAAGACCTACTAGGACCTGCAACCTAACCCTTGACCTCCTGATTACAGCGAGGTATTCCACTGGCATAGCGTCAGAGCCGGAGGCCAGAGTGACTTACAAGGTCCCGCTTTCATCTCGATGAATGATCACGTAATAATAAGACACGAATGGGCAAGTGGACTTGTGAAAAACAACCTGTTATTTGAGATTCTGTCTGTCTGTGGTTTTGTACTTTACGGCTTCATGCTTTCCACTGAGGCGCTACAGGACTGGCTGTGGCACTGAGGATGTATCACAGCATTAGATGGAATACTCTCGTGTGACAGAGCAGAGGAAACAGCTTTTATTACTGCGAACGCCTCAGTAGGCAGTGATACAGTCCTCTAAACTGAATTATGAGGTAAGACTGCTGCAGATATTATATATTTGGAGAACATGGAAAAATCCTACAAAAACGTGCTCATGCACTCAAGCTCAGGCACGCAGACATGCACACAGGCAGGCACGAACACACACACATACTGCATCAGCCGGCTGGTTATGAATACGGATCCCGTAAAAAAAATACTGTGGTGAATTTAATCTGGCAGACAGAATTGGTTTTGTGTGTATTCTCACCTCTTTCCTGTGGGCAACAAAACCTAATGACAAACAACTCCCACAAACACACACAATCTCTCTCTCTCCCTCGATGTTAGGCTCTCTCTCTGGCTCTCTATCTACTTCTCGCTCTCATTGTCAATCTAACCACTTTCGCTCTCTCGCTTTTCTTTTCTTTATTCTTTAGTAGCTTGCTGTTCGAGTAGTGAGTAGGTCTTCTATTGGTAGTTATCTTTCGGGATTTCGTTCTTTTTTATTTGATTTCTTTCTTTCAGTTCTGTATTGATTTGTCTTTCTTCTTTTTCTTTCTTTCTTTCTTTCTTTCTTTCTTTCTTTCTTTCTTTCTCTCTCTCTCTCTTCTCTCTCTCTCTGCAGTGAGACTTATAAAAGATGATGAAGGAGATAGTAGAGGATTGCCAGAGAGACTAGTAACGGCACATATCACACAAAGAACATCTCTCAGAGAGAAAAAAGACTCCCTTCCCTAAACACACACAGAACACTATCAGACCTAGAGGGCTTGTACATGACACCAAGCATATCGCAAGACACAATGGGACCGCTCTGCAGTCACTCAACATGCACTTATAAAAGGACTTGTTATTTTGACATTGCAAAGTAGGTACCAGACATCCCTCCCAGATTTCCGTACAGAGCTATCCTGTATCTTTGCCTTTATATTTATCTGGTATTCTTGCAGGCACAGTAACTTTAGCCCAATTGTCCATTGGGCAACCTCATAACAGTACTGTTACAGTGACACAGTAAAATGTCTGTAATGTAAAATGTGCCGTATCTTTTCATAAGCCACTGTGTTGTCTCTGTAGGTTTCAGTATGGGATACCTGTCCTCATAAGCTGCTGTGTTGTGTCTATAGGTGTCTCCAGTGCTGGGGATGACAGCAGGGACCCTGATCCTGTTCTTCGTGCCTGAGCCCAAGAGAGGCCATGCTGACCAGCTAGGAGGACGCATCAAACATCGCACCTCCTGGCTCTGTGACATGAAGGCCCTGGCCAAGAAGTAAGATACCTCAGTTAACTTCCATTAATCTGATGTACCTTTACTTATCTATTTGGGTTGGCATGAGAGAGAGAGAGAGAGAGACAAAGTGAGGGAGACAGCGCAAGAGAGAGAGAGAAGAGAGAGAGAGACGAGAGAGAGAGAGAGAGACAAAGCGAGGGAGACAGCGCAAGAGAGAGAGAAAGAGAGAGAGAGAGAGAGAACGAGAGAGAGAGAGAGAGAGAGAGAGACAAAGCGAGGGAGACAGCGCAAGAGAGAGAGAGAGAGTGAGGGAGAGAGAGAGCGATAGAGCCATAATAGAATGTCTACAAAGTCTGTGAAGTCAGTGTCACGCTAAATGAGCATGTCATCTAATCTACATTAGATGTGGTGCTGTGCGGTCACTAACCTGAACATGAAGGCCCTGGCCAAAAAGTAAGATACCTCAGTTAACTTCCATTAATCTGATGTACCTTTACTTTTCTATTTGGGTTGGCATGAGAGGGAGAGGGAGAGAGAGGGAGAGAGAGAGAGAGAGGGAGAGAGGGAGAGAGAGAGAGAGGAGAGGGAGGAGGGAGAGAGAGAGAGATTGTATACCGCTATATTAGATAGAAAATATTTGTTTAGGCTTTCCTTTTGTCCTTCAGCATCTGACTGAGATTGCATACTGCAGATAAATAAATAATTAATGGTGTTGTGTGTGTTCCTCCCTTCTAGCCGGAGCTATGTGTTCTCCTCCCTGGCGTCTGCTGCGGTGTCGTTCGCCACGGGGGCATTTGGCATGTGGATCCCTCTCTACCTGTTCAGGGCTCAGGTGGTACAGAAGACAGCAGAGGCCTGCACTAAAGACATCTGCAGCAGCAAGGACAGGTCAGAGTTTACTCTTGAGTTCTCCGTTTTATTAACCTGATCTGAGTCATTTATAACCTCTTGCTGTCCACTAACATTTCACTCTAGTGATATGAAATGTCTTTGCTTCTCTCTCACCTCTCCCCCTGGTCTCTGTGCAGTCTGATCTTTGGTGCGATCACATGTGTTACGGGGCTGTTGGGGGTTGTGATCGGAGCAGCCACCACCCGCCTGTGTCGTCAGAAGACCGAGCGGGCGGACCCCCTGGTGTGTGCCGTCAGCATGCTGGGCTCAGCCATCTTTGTCTGCCTCATCTTCGTCGTGGCCAAGAAGAGCATCATAGGAGCTTATGTGAGTGGTCTAGTTACCAAAGCTTGTCTTTCACTCACAAACATGTATCAATACCGTTACGATTTAGCTTCAAACAGGTATCATACCATTACGAATCTTCGCTTCAAACCATTGTTAGTCATAACCGTTACGATTTCGCTTCCAAACATTGTATCATACCGTTCGTCTTCGCTTCAAAACATGTATTCATATACCATTACGATCTTCGCTTCAAACATGTATCATACCGTTACGATCTTCGATTCAAACATGTATCATACCGTTTACGATCTTCGCTTCAAACATGTATCATACCGTTACGATCTTCGCTTCAAACATGTATCATACCGTTACGATCTTCGCTTCAAACATGTATCATACCGTTACGATCTTCGCTTCAAACATGTATCATACCGTTACGATCTTCGCTTCAAACATGTATCATACCGTTACGATCTTTGCTTCAAACATGTATCATACCGTTACGATCTTTGCTTCAAACATGTATCATACCATTACTGCCTGGGCCTGTATTCATAAAGCGTCTCAGAGTAGAAGTTCTGATCTAGGGAGTTTTTCCTAGCCGCCGTGCTTCTACATCTGCATTGCTTGATGTTTGGGGTTTTAGGCTGGGTTTCTGTATAAGCACTTTGAGACATCTACTGATGTAAAAAGGCCTTTAGAAATACATTTGATTTAATTTGATCCGTTTCGCCTTTTAGATGATAATTAATACGATTATAGGGACAGAGGAGACCTGATGGGTATACTACAAAGTAGGATCAACCAGCTAACGTGCCTAAATATTCTGAAATAACTTCTTATTTTGTAGAAAGATAAGCTTGAAATGGGCATGGTCTAATTGATTCAACAACCAAAAACACATATCTAAGTTTAGCTTTCATAATAAACCAGAAAATCAATAGTTATTTCTGGTTGTTTATCAAAGTTAGCTGGCTAACTCATTGATCCTGCTTTGTAGTATACCCCTCTGATCCTAGATCAGCACTCCTACTCTGAGACTCTTTGTGAATACAGGGCCAGACATTCCAACGGCACACAAGGTCACATGCCCTGGCTGGAAGACTATGCAAACCAACATGTTTATGGGAATTAGGATATTTTCCATCTTCGTCATTATTATTGCTCAGGTTGTTGAAAGTCAGTTCCTACTCTTTTGTCTCTGATAAGAGCGTAAAATGTGTTCTCTGTGAGTCACAAAAAAAATGCCACAGTGCATTGTTCCTGTCTGGGGCAGCGATTGTTAAAAGCTGCGCTCTTTCCTGCTTTACATGGCAATTAAACAAGCAAACACCCTGTGCATTCCCACCGCAGCACTGCGGGCCCCTGGCCTGTGGGCCCGTTTCCTTTTGACCTGATAGACACAGTATAAACCCCTGGCCTCGACAAAGATGGCTAGCCGATCTGTGTGTACTGTCTTGCCGACTCCTATGGTCCATTTGTTACGCATATGAGTTGGCAAGACAGCACAAACAGATCTGGGACTAGGCGAAGAGATGGCTTCTTTCTGAGGACAGCCATCCCAGAGTAGCCTAGACCTTTCATTTACAGACCAGTGTGCCTCTCTGCCTGGCTAGGGGCATCCTGCCCATCTACTGAGCCCTATGTAGGCTCATATGAAGTCAACAGGAGTTGACTTTTACAGGTCAAGAGCAGGTCTGCCCTACATTTTTATGTGGCAGGCCTCCATAGAAAGGTAGCATATTTCAGGGAGATATGAGGACACCTTGGCAGCAGGGCAGCCAGACACAGTAGTAGAGATGTATGATACAGGCTTGGAGTTCAGGGCAGTATTCATGGATGATATCTCCAGACAACTGTACATATTAAATATCCTCTCGTTTTATGGTGGCTGTTACAAATTGTTACTGTGACAACTCTAGTTACATTGCTAAGCACTGACAGATGTGGTGTTGAAGATAGTGACACCACGGTGGTGTGAGGCAGGGCACAGCGGCCATGACTGTCTCGCTGTCTGTTTGGGGTGTGATTTGGAGTCTAGATCCAGACAGCTGTTGTCTCACAGGCAGGCTGGCCGGCTGATCTGAGAAGAGTTCGTTTGAGGTTCTGTTTCCCAGGAGGCTGTGTGTCAGTCACGGTGTCTGAATGGCAGGTTAACAGTCTGCACTACTTCCAGACCAAGAGTGTCTATCTAAACCCTGCTGGGAGTGTGTGTGTGTGTGTGTGTGTGTGTGTGTGTGTGTGTGTGGTGTGTGTGTGTGTGTGTGTGTGTGTGTGTGTGTGTGTGTGTGTGTGTGTGTGTGTGTGTGTGTGTGTGGTGTGTGTGTGTGTGTGTGTGTGTGTGTGTGTGTGTGTGTGTGTGTGTGTGTGTGTGTGTGTGTGTGTCAGTTGGACATAGATCCTCCAGTCCTCCATTGCCAACCGCGATACATTGGATTCTATCGCAACCAAATCCCTCTGGATCCATTACTAGAAAGCATTTGTTTCGCCACACAGCCTTGCCAGCTGCTCAGGGCTTGCTTTAAGTAGAGATGTCAAGAGACTAT